ACCTTATCACCAAAAGGGGGCCCGTAAATTATAAGAATCTTGTAGAAGCCCAGGCCTGCCTGTCTCGTCTATGCCTAATACCGTTGAACTGTGTATAAGTTAGCTCTATGTCGGGACGCCATAGGGTAGCTGCGCACTGCAAGTACATCTAACTTCCTCCAGATCCCATTGATGTCCATCTCTCCCGCAGACTGCGTTGAGCTACTCTTGCGCCAACGCCTTCCAGCGGGTGGTGGAGACACTGACAGCGATGCCCGGTGTAGACATCAACAAAGCTGACACTGACGGTAACACTCCTCTACACTTCGCTGCTCAGGCTGGTGAGTGCTCCTATCTTCTTCAATATATTTACCTAGAAGTTACTGGATGAGCCTACCACAGTCTTCAAAAACTTTGAAAGTCATTTTTTTTAGTTCTTTGTGTAGTATACAAACTGTACTTTACATGAAATAGGGTAATGTTAAGCACAAAGACAGCCACTAGAATGCATGAACAGTCCTACGAAAATGTTCGTTGTTTTTGTTACTAGGATAGCTAAGAGCCGCCAGACCTTACTTACACCTTATTGAGCCATAATTCTCGGAAATCCTCGAAAAAAGTGAAACGAAAACGATGAGTTGCAAATTATGTCAGGTGAACCCCGACCCTGGCAGGACCAGACATCAACACACACCACACCGTGAAAAAAGTAACGTGAAAAATGTGCCAAAAGGTTGGATACAGAGGCACATAATCAATAGCAATGAGGAAAGGTAACTAGCACAGAACAGCCTATTAGGGTGAGAGCGTTTCGCTCTGTGTCAAGCTCTGAACAGAGCAAACTGTCAAGATAAAAGCATGTTGTCTACGTGTGTCTTTTCTTCGATGGCAAAACGTCGGTTTCGTGATGTGATGCTGCAACTCGGTGTTGCTCTGCGTTATGTTGCTACCACACAAGATGATCCTCGGTACCTAAGTCGTTGCCTTCAGTACGTTATGTTACAGAGTGCTAGTTCCAGAACTTATGCAAGAGTGAGATATGCTGCTGCCCAGAGTGCGTTGTGACTAGCAGAACTCTGTTTCTGAAGAGCGCTTGTTGAACTAAGAGACGGAGAGAGACACAGATAGACAGAGATGTAAACAAAGAGTGTCAGAGAAAACACCATGAAGCGAAAATAATCAGATGAAGGAGAGAGAGAGAGAGATGGGAGAATGATTACATGTGAACGGAAAAAGCAGACACCAGATGTCCCCATGATCTATTTTGATGCTATATACTAAGAGAGATTAGTCACAATCAAATTATCTAATTCGACGATGACAGGAAGTAAAAGTTAAGGGGGTGGATTGGGATTTTATTATTTTTATGCATAAAATAGTGTGGAATTTTGATTCCGTTTATGATTATTACAATATATGAGTCTACCTCATTTGAATGGCTTTAATACTTAATGGCTGATGCATCTTACAGCTAAGATAGTACCTATTCAGTTTGTATGGAAGCAAATTTGTCAAGCTTCAAATCTTTGCATTTTTGATCAAACTGGACTATCTTTAAAAACACGGAATTAGAAAATTTGAAAATTCATTCAACTGCTAAAACGAAATCGAAAATATTAAATCCTAGTGTTTTTAATTGTGAGCTGAATGAACCCTTAAATACTGCACGGCTTTATGCCAGAACCGTCCATCTGTTAGGTACAGTTTTCTAAGATGCAGGGAATACCCGCGAGTAAGTCTAGTGCGGCGCAGTTCTCGTCTATATACTACAGAATGATTAGAACTGAACTGGAGAAAGTTAAAAAAATATATTTACTCTATAAGAAATCTTTTCAGTGAAGATAGTTTGAGAGAGCTGAAGTTATACACTCTTCAAAGTTGTAGAATGAAAGGTATAAATATCTAACCAAGAACAAATTTTGAAACAATGAATTTAAGATGGATAAACTCAGACTTAGAAAGGACACAGAAAAGTGTTGCTTCATCAGTAGAGTTGTAAATGAGTGGAACTGTCTTCCACTTTGGTTAGATTTAAAATGTTTATCAACTACATGTATGCAAATAGTTGGTTCTGAGAAGTACCTGCCAAGCCTAGGCCAATATTACTACTGCAATGTTCCACTATACTTAAGTAAATACACATACACTCTCTCTCTCTCTCTCCAGAAAGTCAAGGTTCGGTACATTATCATCTTTAACGTTGAAGCTGATGATACAATAGGGTTCCTGCGAACCCTGGAGAGTAGTCTTCAGGGAAGTTGCTATAAGTGTGTGTGTGTGTGTGTGTGTGTGTGTGTGTGTGTGTACTCACCTATTTGTGGTTGCTGGGGTCGAGTCTTAGCTCCTGGCCCCGCCTCTTCACCGGTTGCTACTGGGCCCTCTCTCTCCCCGCTCCATGAGCTTTATCAAACCTCGTCTTAAAACTGTGTATGGTTCCTGCCTCCACTACGTCATTTTCTAGGCTATTCCACTGCCTTACAACTCTATGACTGAAGAAATACTTCCTAATATCTCTCTGACTCATTTGTGTCTTCAACTTCCAATTGTGGCCTCTTGTTTCTGTGTCCCCACCCTGGAACATCCTGTCTTTGTCCACCTTGTCTATTCCACGCAGTATTTTATATGTCGTTATCATGTCTCCCCTGACCCTCCTGTCCTCCAGTGTCGTCAGGCCGATTTCCCTTAATCTTTCTTCATAGGACATTCCCCTTAGCTCTGGAACTAACCTTGTCGCAAACCTTTGTACTTTCTCTAGTTTCTTGACGTGCTTTATCAAGTGCGGGTTCCAAACAGGTGCTGCATACTCCAGTATGGGCCTGACATACACGTGTACAGTGTCTTGAACGATTCCTTACTAAGGTATCGGAATGCTGTTCTCAGGTTTGCCAGGCGCCCATAATGCTGCAGCAGTTATCTGGTTGATGTGTGCTTCCGGAGACATGCTCGTGTTATACTCACCCCAAGATCTTTCTCCTTTGAGTGAGGTTTGCAGTCTTTGGCCACCTAGCCTATACTCGTCTGTGGTCTTCTGTGCCCTTCCCCTATCTTCATGACTTTGCATTTGGCAGGATTAAATTCGAGAAGCCATTTGCTGGACTAGGTGTCCATCTGTCCAGGGCTCTTGAAGTCCTGCCTGTCCTCATCAGATTTAATTCTCCTCATTAACTTCACATCATCTGGGAAACAGGGACACTTCTGAGTCTAACCCTTCCATCATGTCGTTCACATATACCAAAAATAGCACTGTCCTAGGACCGACCCCTGTGGGACCCCGCTCGTCACAGGTGCCCACTGTGATACATCATTACGTACTATGACTCGTTGTTGTCTCCCTGTCAGGTATCTCTGATCCATTGCAGTGCCCTTCCTGTTATATGCGCCTGATGCTCTAGCTTCTGCACTAATCTCTTGTGAGGAACTGTGTCAAAGGCCTTCTTGCAGTCCAAGAAGATGCAATCAACCCACCCCTCTCTCTCGTGTCTTACTTCTGTTATTTTATCATAAAACTCCAGAAGGTTTGTGACACAGGATTTGCCTTCCATGAATCCGTGCTGGTTGCATTTATACTCTTGTTCCGTTCCAGGTGCTCCACCACTCTCCTCCTGATAATCTTCTCCATAATTTTGCATACTATACACGTCAATGACACAGTCTATAGTTTTAGTGCCTCTTTTCTGTCTCCTTTTTTAAAAATGGGAACTACATTTGCCGTTTTCCATACCTCAGGTAGTTGCCCAGTTTCCAGGGACGTGTTGAAGATTGTGGTAAGTGGCACGCACAACATATCTGCTCCCTCTCTAAGGACCCACGGGGAGATGTTGTCCGGTCCCATTGCGTTTGAGGTATCTATGTGCTTTAGCAGTTTCTTCACCTCCTCCTCATCTGTATGTATGTCGTCCAACACTTGTTGGTGTATTCCTTGCTGGTGTCCCCATCTGGTCTGTCCCCCCAGAGTCCTTCCTGTCTCTACTGTAAATTCTTCCTTAAATCTCGTGTTGAGCTCCTCACATACCTCTTGATCGTTTCTTGTGAGTTCTCCACCTGTGTGTGTGTGTGTGTGTGTGTGTGTGTGTGTGTGTAAATAAAGTAAACATCATCATTGCTACTTGGAAGATATATTTTAGTACACTGCATTTTTATTAAATCAAATAAGAATCAAAAGTAGAACTCAGTTCCGTAAACATTTCAAAATATCAAAGTAATATATGTAATACAAAATAAGTTAAAAATGTGAAATCAAAATAACTGCTGCTGATAAACCACTGTTTCTCTGGAAATCTTTTGCCTCCAGTAGCGTACAGGAACTTAGCTGTGGCCAGCTTCATGGTCTAGAATCACATCGTCCAGCTTCATGGTCTAGAATCACATCGTCCAGCTTCATGGTCTAGAATCACATCGTCCAGCTTCATGGTCTAGAATCACATCGGCCAGCTTCATGGTCTAGAATCACATCGGCCAGCTTCATGGTCTAGAATCACATCGTCCAGCTTCATGGTCTAGAATCACATCGTCCAGCTTCATGGTCTAGAATCACATCGGCCAGCTTCATGGTCTAGAATCACATCGGCCAGCTTCATGGTCTAGAATCACACAGGCCAGCTTCATGGTCTAGAATCACATCGGCCAGCTTCATGGCTAGAATCACATCGCCAGCTTCATGGTCTAGAATCACATCGGCCAGCTTCATGGTCTAGAATCACATCGGCCAGCTTCATGGTCTAGAATCACATCGGCCAGCTTCATGGTCTAGAATCACATCGGCCAGCTTCATGGTCTAGAATCACACAGGCCAGCTTCATGGTCTAGAATCACATCGGCCAGCTTCATGGTCTAGAATCACATCGGCCAGCTTCATGGTCTAGAATCACATCGGCCAGCTTCATGGTCTAGAATCACATCGGCCAGCTTCATGGTCTAGAATCACATCGGCCAGCTTCATGGTCTAGAATCACATCGGCCAGCTTCATGGTCTAGAATCACACAGGCCAGCTTCATGGTCTAGAATCACATCGGCCAGCTTCATGGTCTAGAATCACATCGGCCAGCTTCATGGTCTAGAATCACATCGGCCAGCTTCATGGTCTAGAATCACATCGGCCAGCTTCATGGTCTAGAATCACATCGGCCAGCTTCATGGTCTAGAATCACACAGGCCAGCTTCATGGTCTAGAATCACATCGGCCAGCTTCATGGTCTAGAATCACATCGGCCAGCTTCATGGTCTAGAATCACATTGGCCAGCTTCATGGTCTAGAATCACATTGGCCAAATTCATGATCTAGAATCACATTGGCCAGCTTCATTGTCTAGAATCACACAGGCCAGCTTCATGGTCTAGAAT